CCAAAGTTACCACTTGTCTGTTCTCTATTTAGTGTTTTTCCATCCCACCCCTCCCATCCCTTGTAACAAACAAAGATTGTTTCTTTTTGTGTGTAAACCTTTTCATGAGTTTTTTTTTATAGTAGTGGTCTCATACAGGAAACTCTGGTGGCATACTGGTTAAGTGCTACAGCTGCTAACCAAAAGGTCGGCAGTTGGAATCCATCAGGCATTCCTTGGAAACTCTATGGGGCACTTTTACTCTGTCCTGTAGGGTCACTAGGAGTCGGAATCAACTCAACAGCAATGGGTTTTTTTATGGTTTTGGGTCTCATACAATATTTGTCCTTTTGTGATTGACATTTCACTGAGCATAATGCCCTCCAGATTGATCCATGTTGTGAGATGCTTCACAGATTCGTCATTGTTCTTCATCATTGCATAACACTCCATTGTGTGTATGTATCATGGTTTATCCATTCATCTGTTGATGGGCATCTAGGTTGTTTCCATCTTTTTGCTATTGTGAACAATGCTGCCATGAACATAGGTGTGCATGTATCTATTCGAGTGATGACTCTTATTTCTCTAGGATGTATTCCTAGGAGTGGGATTGCTGGATCATATGGTATTTCAAATTCCAGCTTTCTAAGGAAGCGCCATATCATTTTCCAAAATGGCTGTATCATTTTGCATTCCCACCAGCAGTGCATAAGAGTTCCGATCTCCCCGCAGCCTCTCCAACATTTGTTTTCTGTTTTTTTTTTTAATTTGTGCCAGTAATGCCAGGGTGAGTTCTCTTTATTTCTGTTGGGTAAGTTGTAATGTCCCCTCTTTAATTTCTTATTTTGATTATTTGCATATTTTCTCTTTTTTTCTTTGTCAGTCTAGCAAAAGGTTTGTCAATTTTATTGATCTTTTCAAAAAAATCAACATCCGATTTTATTAATTGTCCCTGTTGTTTTTCTGTTTTCATTATTATTTCTGCTCTGTTCTTTGTTATTTCCTTTCTTCTGGTAGACACTTGCTTACTTTGCTTGTTCTCGTTCCTGGAGTTGCTGAGTGAGGCTGTTGGTTTGAAATCTTTTTGTTTTATCATGTAGGTGTTTATTGCTATGAGTGTCCCTCTTGAGTGCTGCCTTCATTGCATCTCCTAAGTTTTGGTATTGTTTACATTCATTTCCATTTGACTGTAAGCAATTTGTGATTTCTCTTTTGATTGCTTCCTTGACCCATGTTGTTCTTGTTAGGTGCTGTCGAGTTGATTCTGACTCATAGTGACCCTACGTACAACAGAACGAAACACTGCCCGGTCCTGCGCTATCCTCAGAATTGTTGTTATGCTTAAGCCTGTCATTGCAGCCCCTGTGTCAGTCCATCTTGTTGAGAGTCTTCCTCTTTTTCATTGACCCTTTACTAAGCATGATGTCTTCTCCAGGGACTGATCCCTCCTGATAACATGTCCAAAGTATGTGAGACATAGTATTGCCATCCTTGCTTCTAAGCAGCATTCTGGTTGTACTTCTTCCAAGACAGATTTATTTGTTCTTTGGGCAGTCCATGGTATTATTCAGTATTCTTCACCAGCACCGCAATTCAAAGATGTCGATTCTTCTTCGGTCTTCCTTGTTAATCATCCAGTTTTCACATGCATATGAGGCAATTGAAAACACCATGACTTGGGTCAGGCACACCTTAATCTTCAAGGTCACTTCTTTGCTTTTCAACACTTCAAAGAGGTCTTTTGCAGCATATTTGCCCAATGCAATGCGTCTTTTGATTTCTTGACTGCTGCTTCCATGGGTGTTGATTGTGGATCCAAGTGAAATGAAATCTTTGACAACTTCAGTCTTTTCTCCGTTTATCATGATGTTGCTTACTGGTCCACTTGTGAGGATTTTTGTTTTCTTTATGTTGAGGTGTAATCCATACTGAAGGCTGTGGTCTTTGATCTTCATCATCAGTGAGCAAGGTTGTGTCATCTGTATAATGCACGCAGGTTGTTAATGAGTCTTCCTCCAATCTTGATGCCCTGTTCTTCTTCATATAGTCCAGCTTCTCAGATTGTTTGCTCAGCATACAGACTGAATAAGTATGGTAAAAGGCTACAACCCTGATGCACACCTTTCCTGACTTTAAACCACGCAATATCCCGTTGTTCTGTTCGAATAACTGCCTCTGGATCTGTGTACAGGTTCCTCATGAGCACGATGGAGTGTTCTGGGATTCCCATTCTTCACAGTGTTATCCATAATTTGTTACACTTCACACAGTTGAATGCCTTTGTAGAGTCAGTAAAACACAGGTAAACATATTTCTGGAATTCCTTGCTTTCAGCCAGGATCTTTGATCATAGGTAGTTAATTAGGTACTTAATTTCCATGTGTTTGTGTATTTTCCTTTTTTCTGTATTGATTTCTAGCTTCACTTCATTGTGGTAGAGAAAATACTTTGTATGATTTCAGTCTTTTAAAATTCGTCAGGACTTGCTTTGTGACCTAACTTGTGGTCTATCCTGGAGAATGATCCCTGGGCACTGGAGTAGAATGTATATTGTGCTGTCGTTGGGAGGAGTGTTCTGTATACATATGTTAATCTGCTTGGTTTATAGTGTCATACAGGCCCTCTTATTTCCTTGTTGGTCGTCTTTCTAGATGTTCTATCCTATATTGAGAGTGACATATTGGAGTCTCCAACTATTAATGGTTGTTGTTGTTCTTAGGTGCTGTCAAGTTGGTTCCAACTCATAGCTATCCTGTGTACAACAGAACGAAACACTGCCTGGTCCTGCGCCATCCTCACAGTCGTTGTTATGCTTGGGCCCAATGTTGCAGCCACTGTGTCAGTCCATCTCATTGAGAGTCTTCCTCTTTTTCACTGACCCTCTACTTCACCAAGCATAATGTCCTCCTCCACGGACTGGTCCTCCTGATAACATGTCCAAAGTACATAAGATGAAGTTTCGTCATCCTTGTTTCTAAGGAGCATTCTGGCTGTACTTGTTCCAAGACAGATTTGTTCATTCTTCAGGCAGTTCATAGTATATTCAATAGTCTTCGCCATCACCGTAATTCAAAGGTGTCAATTCGTCTTCAATCTTCCTTATTCATTGTCCACTTTTCACACACATATGAGATGATTGAAAATACTGTGGGTTGGGTCAAGCGCACCTTAGTCCTCAAAGTGACATCTTTGCTTTTAAAAGTTTACAGAGACGTTTTGCAGTAGATTTGCCCAATGCAATACGATGTTTTATTTCTTGACTGCTGCTTCCATGAACATTGATTGTGGATCCAAATAAAATGAAATCCTTGACGCTTCAGTCTTTTCTCTGTTTATCATGATGTTGCTTATTGGTACACTTGTTAGGATTTTTGTTTTCTTCCTGTTGAGGTATAATCCATACTGGAGGCTGTGGTCTTCGATCTGCATCAGTAAGAGCTTCAAGTCCACTTCAGAGCAAGCAAGGCTGCATCATCTGCATATCACAGGTTGTTAATGAGTCTTCCTCCGATCCTGATGCCGCATTCTTCTTCATAACAAATGTAGTAGATTTGATTCCTGTTCATTCCATCTGGCGTCATCCATGTGTATAGTCACCGTTTTCGTTGTTGAGAAATGATATTTGCAATGAAGAGGTCATTGTTCTTGCCAAAATTCTATCATGCGATCTCTGGCGTTGTTTCTGTTTGTCTTCCTTTCTTTCCAACTTTTGCATTCCAATAACCAGTAATTATCAGTGCATCTTAATTGTATGTTTCATCAATTCCAGAGTGCAGAAGTTGGTAAAGTCTTCGGTTTCTTCATCTTTGGCCTTAGTAGTTGGTGCGTAAATTTGAATTACAGTTGTATTAACTGGTCTTCCTTGTAGGCATATGGATGTTACCCTGTCACTGACAGTGTTGTACTTGAGGATAGATCTTGAAATGTTCTTTTTGACAATGAATGCAACGCCATTCCTCTTCAAGTTGTCATTCCCAGCATAGGAGACCATATGATTGTCCGATTCAAAATGGCTAATTCCAGGCCATTTCAGCTCACTAATGCCTAGGATATCAGTGTTTACGCGTTCCTTTTCATTTTTGACGATTTCCAATTTTCCGAGATTCATACTTCGTATGTTCCACGTTCCAATTATTAATGGATATTTGCAGCTATTTCTTCTCATTTTAAGTCATCTCACATCAGGAAATGATGATCCTAAAAGCTTGACTCCATCCATGTCTTTCAAGTCGACTCTACTTTGAGGAGGCAGCTCTTCCCCAGTCGTTTTTTGAATACCTTCCGACCTGAGTGACTCGTCTTCCAGCACTATATCAGACAATGCTCCACTGCTGGTCATAAGGTTTTCTTTGGCCAGTTTTTTCAGAAGTAGACCACCAGAGCCTTCTTCTTAGTCTTAGTCTGGAAGCTCCACTGAAACTTGTCCACCACGGGTGACCCTGCTGGTTTTTGAAATACCAGTGGCATAGCTTCCAGCATCTCAGCAACACACAAGCCACCAGAGTACAGCATGTTGACGGTCGAGTGGTGAATTTTTACGGTAGTGCTGTCTGTTTCTCTCTTCAGTTTTGTCAGCGTTTGCTTTATATATTTAGGTGCTCCAGTGTTGGGTGCATATGTATGTGATCGTTAAATATTGATGAATTGACCTTTTTGTCACTATACAAAGTCCATTTTCATCACTTCTAACAGATTTTGTTTTAAAGTCTTCTTTGTCTGATATTAAGATTGCCACCCAGCTCTCTTTTGGTTATTATTTGAATAGAATATTTTGCATGGAGCACTCATGGAGCAGTGGTTAAGAGCTTGGCTGCTAACCAAAAGGTTGGCAGTTCGAATCCATCAGCCGCTCCTTGGAAACCCAATGGGGGGCAGTTCTACTCTGTCCTGTAGGTCACTATGAGTCAGAATTGACTCACTGGCAAGGATTTTTTGTTTGTTTTTGTGGGTATAATTTTAAAAAGTGAGGCTCTAGACTTCGTATATAATTTTTAAAATGAATTTTTCCCCCATTACAGTGTTCACAATAATGTTTCAACTCAGAGTGATGGCTCCCAACAGGTAAGACAGTATCAAGCTTCTAAAACACTAAAAACTGTTATTATGGGAAACAGTAATATTATTAATGGAATTTTCATTCTAGGTTAGTGGTGCAAACTTGGGCAAGTTATGTGCATTTTCTTTTCCTTATCTGTAAAGAGGCTTAACGATGTCTGATCATCCTCTGTTACAGTATTTTCTAAGATATTCTAAATAGAACAGGTGGTCTTTAAAACATTTTTCCTCTCTGTATATTCTAGACAGTGAATCAAAATATTAATATGCAGTTAAATTACCATATCCTAGATGGTTATCTAAAGTTGAAGGTTTTGCTTACGCATTCTTTGTTCCTTATGTAGGTACTGTTGCATTTAGTTTTCTGTGTGTTGGTGAAGACATCTTTTATGGAGGCAAAATAGATGATCTGTATCATTTGTGTCTGAAGGCGTGTGGTCTGAGACCTCCTCTGCCTGTGATGTCTCCTCTTCCCTGTGGTCCGGCACTGGCGGAGAAAGAGAATGTTCCTCGGAGTCCTGGGGTAGACCCGCACGACAGGAAACGGTTTGTTAACCCTTTAAACCAAAATAAAACACTGCTTGCTTCGTTTGTATTCTTAATTCCCTGCCATACAATTAGAGTACTTTAAATTTGATTGAAAGCGAATTATTCATATTTGTGAGCTGAGCAGTCTTATAGAGAGGGAATCAAGAAAGGAGGGCAGGTGTGTCTGCCTGAGGGATGTCAGACTCTTGTCCTTATTTTGGTTAGCGTGATCTGGGAGTGGTGGTTGGTTCTCTGTGGAAAAAGACTTCCTTGCTACTTAGTAGAACCTTTTCTTGGGTGCATAAGGGAAATATGTTCGTTATATGTTATTCTGTTAATATTACACTACTGTTTTTGATGTGCTTTCTTCAGTAAAGACTGAAGATAAAACCAAAAGGGAAACATGATTATATTCCAGTAAAATAAAGCATGAAATGCTCCATTTTTGGAGATTGAGAGAGAATAATCTGATGACAGACAAGGTACTTATTTAGCATTCCTGGATCTTTTTCTAGATTAAAGTTAAGTGCACAAATATGGATAGTTTGTGGCTTATTGGAGTTAATCGGTGGGGTTTATCCTTTCCTAAATCAATGTATGTGGCTTGGGGGGCTCCTTGGGAATTATTTGATTGATTGGTCATATTGGGTGTATCATCTGTTCTCGTTGTGTCTGTGAAATGAATCTTGATAATGCTTAGGATTTTTCTTTTTTTCTGTCTCTCAGTGTGTTTAGTACGTGAAATCTAACGAGTTTCTGTGGTGATCTCAAGGTTCGGGTCAACTTTCTGTGCAGCTCCTTCTTCCTTCCTGGTGGTGGGTCAGCAGCGGTTGGCGATCGTTTTTAGTCTTTGCTGTGTTGTTTGATTCACGGTTATTTTGCTTAACTAACTTCAGGGTGCTTTGCTCTCAATCGGTAACTGTCACTGGTGGACGTATTTTTACTTCACTTCCAAATAACTTGCAATTCGTTTCTAAGTTTAAGGGTGTGTGTGTGTGTGTCTTCCCTTCCCTTTTCCCTCTCTTTTTGCTTGGCAGTGTGCTGGGGGTACTTCATGTGTACATGTGGTTACACACTTCAGGTGTCAACAGCGAGGCTTCTAAATGCCAAATTTTAGCCTTTTTTTGAACCATTAAAAAGAGTTTTATCAATTTCTTATTCAAAACATGGCTTCAGTAAGCAACTATGTTTTCTCTCCTTGATGTTAGCCCCAAGTCCTATCGGCAAGGAAAAACGGCACTCAGACTTCAACTGTGAAAGAAGTTCTGTTTGCTGTTTATTTTAATATAGAAGGAGAGTCTGACCAGTTTGCATCCTGCATTATAACACTAAACTTTTACTGATTTTTAAATATTTTTCCATTTTAATGGGTATACATTTAAGTCTGTTTAATTTGATTCATTAGGCACTACTCAGTTCCTTTGATGCAGCCTTTTGAAAGAGTATTGAATCTGCTTGAAATCAAGAAAATTGAAAACTTTGGAGCTGAGTGTCATTCTTCCTGTCTGTGGCTGAGCTGAGACCTCCCAGGCTGGGAAGGAATAAAGCAGTGGTGTGGACAGCTGGGAAGCCTCAGTGTGTGTTGACAGAGGCGTGGGGCTGAATGAGTGTAGCGCTGGCGTGTCTGGGAGGTCATGGATTCCCCATCCTTTATGTCTAATGCCTTCTGCATTTCATTCTTCGTTTCTGCATGTTTTGATTTTCATTAATACTTTGAGGATAGTATAAAACAGTCCTCCTTTAGAAAATGATAAGTTGATAAAATTAGAAAATGCTCCATAGGTTTTCAACCATCAGGCAGATTGGGGGGCCACTGTATTTCTGGCAGGCTACTTTTGCAAATAACTTTTAACTGATTTAATCTAAGCCGCCTCCTCCCCCGTTCTGTAGCTTTTTCTAGCTGGTGTCCTTTAAATGACACCACTGTTTGAGTGATTTGGTGTATCACTAACTTAGCATTGTCCAGTATTTAAAATATCACCTTTACTGGAAACACTTTGTGTATTTTAAATCCATAAACCATTTATAACAATGACAGAAACAAAACGGATTAATATTTGGAAAATCTTGGCATATGTGAGGGAGAAAATGAATTTAATTTTCTAAAATTTTAGAGACCCTAAATTGAAGATTGTGAGTTTTATGAGTTAGAGCTGAGGAACAAATTTTGTTTTTTGTTTTTTTAAAGGAAATAAGAATTTATTGTTTAAAAAAAAAAAGACTTCCCAAGTTTATTCTGAAAAATCTTTAATTAGTTTCTTTTCAGTTTCCCTAAGTATAGAAAGGTAAGGATTCATGTTTTGGTTTAGTTAGAACAGTAATACTGTATTTAAAAATACATCTTTAGACAGTGTTTATATTTAGGTTTTTATTTTAGTTATTTTAAATATCTGCTGCCCTTTTTGCTGCGTCGCAAAACCTTGGCAGCTGTTTTCTTTCTGCTGGAGGACTGATGAGCACTAACCACGACCCTGCATGCTGCATGCTGTGCTGTCACGGTTCTGAAGCCTGTTCGCTAGCTCTGGGACAGAAGATAGCGAATGTGCTCAGTAAACCATTTCTTGGTGGAGGCTCGTGGTCTCGTCACAGTATCTGTACCTGTTGAATTTCCTTTTGAGCTCCTGTGAAATTTGATTATAGAAAGACCAATGATTCACCATTATTAACTGGGGACATTGATATAAATTTACATGGCCTCTGAGAGTAGATTTTTTTAAAATGGTCTTTCTGAATTTTGTTTCCTGGGTCTCAGTTTTGTGAAATCACTTAATATTTCTCACAACTGCCCTTTTCCATACATGCCCGTCCTTATGTAGAATTCTTTCAAATATTTGAATTAAGTAAGATTATGAATATTTTTTTTCTTCTCATTAGAACCTCAAACACCTTTTCTGCCTTTTATTTGAGTAACAACATCAGGGACAGATACAGTGTCTTGCTTTCTATGAAATTTCCTCCTTAGTTAATTCACCTGCGTGATTCTGATTACTTACATGTATTTCCGTAGTGACATTTTCCATTCCATGAAACTCTGTGGATTTTTACTCCCTCTGCTATTCTTGAACGTTAGTGTTGCATGAAGTAGACGGTGAGAAGTACTCGCGGTGGTGGTGCATGCTGGCCACTTCGCCTTTCTCCTTTCTTACCTCTGATGCGTCCGTTTTCTCTCGATCCTGTTACTGACTCTGCTCCCTCCCGCTCCCCAACCATCCAGGCTGCCTGCGGCCAGCGACTGCTGTCAACGTGGTGGACACCAGTGGAGCACACGGGCCTGGCCCCCACCCCAGACCGCACATAGAAACCACACTGACTGTGTCCACGAGCACAGTGTGAAGAAGGCAGGAGTCCACCATGACGCTCACTTCCCTGGCCATTCAGCCATGACCGAGATATGAGCGTCATGCAAGCTGATGGTGTCCATTTTCTAGTGTATAGAGGGAACTGATCACATCAGGAGAATTTGGGAGAAGCTGTTTTATGCTGAGTCACTATTGGTATAGTACTATTTGTAATTAATTTTTCTCTGAAAGGGAAAAGGATCTAAAGAAGCTACATGTCATCAGTGATAATGACAAAAGATTTTTTGTCGAAAAGAGTATTATATCATTGTAATTTTGGAAAGGTTTTTCATGATTTCAGCATGCTTAACACGTTACTCAGAAGATGTCTTAGGAGAAGGTTGTGTCTGTGACGAAGCCGCCCGTTATCACCTCACCCATGCCATGCCAAATAGAGGGACAGTCAAAGAAGCAGACACACAATAACACCCTCAGAAGGAAGTATGTCCAGGCACGGTGCACCAGCCTCTGTGCCATTTTTATAAAACTGACTCTCATACCCTATTCTTAGTCTTTCTAAAGTTGACTCGGGCCTGAATTTTAGTTAAAATGTCAAAGATTTTGTAATTGTAATTTTAAAAATTTACTTTTTAATAAGCACAAGTATTGTAAGTTGCCAGAAGGTCTAAAAAATCACATTAATGATGTGTTTCATGTAGAGAGATAAATTTAATTACTATCAAATAGTTATTCAAAATGGACAATGTATTTCTTTTTTTTT